CACACACACACACACACACACACACGTCAAGGCCCTCTTTTTATAGGCTAAAGGGGAAGTGAAATTAATTTGACTTCCTGTTCTCCTCTCTGCCTACAAAAAGATCAAATAGAAAAACTCTGCTGTGCTTGACCAAAGTTTTCACAGGTTCTCCTCTGAGGTCGGCCTCTAACAGGACACATTGTTGGCAGGACACACATGTTTGCATTCGGGTGAAGTAAAGAGGTTTGTGTGAAAGCTGCAGAGGCCGAGCGGAGACGAGACATGGAGGCTGTGTTTGGACTGTTGCTGATGCTGCTCGGAGTCTCTCATGGTGAGCTGTTCACCTTTTTAATACTGAATTTGTACTTGATTTATAATCACAAGATTTTTTGCAGAAATGGGATCATGCATGGCATTTTTATTTTTTGTCATTTACAGTTTAATAAAACATCCGTTATGCCACTTTGGGAGAAAAACAAAAAGAACTAAAATATTAACATTTTCATTTTTTCCAATTTCCTATAATTTGAAAAAAATCAATAGGCCTTATCATATCTAATATTCCACTATACGTGTTTGGGTGGGTGCTGTTTAAGAGCCCCCCCAAATCATGATGTGTGACAGTGAGTCACAATACAGGCCCCAGAATATGAAAATGGACATCAGCAATTATTCATCTAATTGTTTACCACTGTGATTTTCCTACTGTAACATATCACTAACACTGTACACTGAGCCCGTGTGTTCAGATGTGCAAAAAAAAGAACGTAATGCACAAGGAGGTCTGAGAGAAACCCAGCAACAAAAAAACACTGTTTCTGTTTTTCTGTCAGTATTTCTGTGTATGTCTTAAACCATGACTTTGTTAGTCTGGTAAATCAACTGCTCAAAACTTTTCTTTTAAAACCTCTTTTTTTTTTTCAAAACCTCTGCAGGTGTGGAAATCATCTGTGATGTCCAACAGGAGGGTGGAGCTCAGTGTTATGGAGCTTTGGGAGGAACTGTGATCCTGAAGATGAAGGATCGATCACCAGCAAGATTTGAAATACGAAAAAACGCCACAGCTATATTCCGCTGGGCGAATAATAACATTTCATTGAATACATTAGAAAACAGATCCTTGTTTACTCCTAGTGCTGGAACGTTTAGGATCAATAACCTGATAAAATCTGACTCAGATGAATACAGATTTAGAATATCTGATTCAAGTGGAATGACAGTACTGGATCAGACTCTACGGTTGTCTATTCAAGGTAATGAACTTTTTATTCTGCAGTGTCTGCCCTGTTCTGTATTAGAAACTGTGAAGGACGACCATGACTCAGTCAACATGTCAAACATCYTCTTTGTTCCTCTAGCTCCTGTGTGGTCTGTCCYGCTGGTCTCTAAGTGTCTGTCCCAGGGAGAGATGAGGGTGTCCTGCGTCTCTGAGGGAGGGGACAGTCTTCAGTACAGATGGACTCTGAATGGACGCACGCTGAGTGAAGACAGGCTCCTCAATGGAACTCATGAGACTGACAACATCACTCTGAAACAGGACGTCTCTGGAAGTCTGGGCTGCTCGGTCAAGAACCACGTCAGTGATAGAGAGACAGTAGAGATAATATCTACCTGTGGTGAGTGAGAGAGTGAGGGACAATGCTCAGATGATGCTGAAGATCATGATCATGCTGAACATCAGTTAGAGCTCATCTGTTTCTTTCCATTCAGGCTTCATCTTCATTGACTGCATAGACTCTAATGAGACACACATATCACAGTGGGTGTTTGCAGCCAATAACACACTGTGTGTTGATCCGACCACTAAGGCCCCAGACGCGACTGTGGGTAAGAAGATTGATGTTACAGTGTCACTTAAACCCACCATTAATATCACATCCTCCAATCACACTGTGACTTCCTTCAGCAGAGAGGACTCCTGGTTCATTAGTAAGTGAAAACTGCCTCTGCTGCAGAGGGTCCATTAGTTTTTATGCTTTTTCTCTCAGGTTGTCTGCATGATAACACCTGTTATGTGTATGTTTTAACTTCATCTATGTGTCTCACGAAACAACCAATTTGCCAGCAATGGCTGGTGTGCTCGCTGCACTGGCTGTCCTCTTACTGGTCGGGGGAGCCGTCATCTATGCTTTGAAGAAAAAGAAAAACCACCAACCTGAAGGTGCAAAAGAAAATGTGGCTTTATTCAGACCTCTTTCATTTATGCTGCTTATCTATAGATCAAAATAATAGAACTAGTTTTCACTCATGCCACATTACATTTGATGTGTTTGTGCTCGTCTTCCTTCCGTTTTGCAGAAGACGGAGATGAGAAGGAATTGACCTACTCAGAAGTGAGGATTGTGCAGAGAGGGCGGGTGCAGCAGAGGGTGGACCCGGACGTGGAGGTGGAGTATGGCCAAATCAAGTTTTCAAAGCGACCTCGGCGGACTGTTGAACTAACAGAAGATGACTGCGTGTACGCCAAGGTCCGTTAAGTCAGTGCTTTTACCAAGATGGCGATGATAGAGGAAGAAACGGCTTGTCAGGATGCCAGGAGGACTTTCACCTTAATTTAATGTGTTCTCAGTAGGAAAACACAGCCTGTGAAAGCTGATACATGTTGTGATTTTCTTTACTTTTACTTTACGCCTGGGTTGCGACTGGCTATCAGATCATCTAGTCTTATAAAAGGAAACCTTTCAGCTTAACATTACCACGCAGGCCCCTGGAAGTTACATGGCCAAATCAATTCTGTCATTTGAATCACGCTGTGACTATTTAAAAAAAGAAAGACATTTATTTAACATTTTCTTACATTTCTGTCTCATTTTCATTCTCCCTTATTTATAAGCATTTTATATCATTGTTAGAACTGTGTAAAGTTGCAACAACGCTGATGCAAATTTAATAGAATAAAAATGTAAAAATCTATCAAATATAAAAATACAAAAATATTATGTATATATAATATTATTACATTTAGTTTCATTGCTTTACAGTGTGTGGCAGACATATAATCACAGAAGATATTTCATCAGTGCGTTTATGTCGGTAAATCATTTGTGTATATAAACTGGCAACTGTAACCTTTAACCACTGAATTATAAGAAATTGCAGTTACTTAAATTAGAATGTGTCAAACACTCAGTTGAGGAGAGTGTGTGTAAGTGTGTGTGTTTGTGCGGGGGAGTTTAGGTCAAACTCCAGCAGCGTCTCTATCCTTCGCAGTTCAGCTTGCGGAGAAATGTCATGTCTCTGGAATTTTGTATAGGCAACATTTTCCGTGAAGTCAGAGCTTCTGCTTTTCGGTAGACAAGCAGTCGGTCTTACACAATGCTTGAGCTGGATGTGAAATTCTAAAAGACCTTATTAGGGTGTGAAAATGATTTGTGACAGTTAATGGTGACATATCCCTCAAAATACATCTGAGTGAATTGTGTGTAGTCACAATAATACTCCTTCTAAAAAGTGAGGGATTGAGTTGCAGTTGAAGTTTGTATTTTCAAATTTCTTATGACTTAAAACAGTGAGTTAGTAACAGGAGATACATATCAGAAATACTTTATTAATCCCAATAGGAAAATTCAAATATCTTAAAAGCAAGTGTTCATTTCACAATGTAGACTGGGTGAAACCTTTGATTTGATTCATTCATTTAATTCTTGTCGTCTAATCATCTCTGAGGTCCATGACCTGCAAAAACTGTTTAAGCACTTTTTTTTAGCCACTTTTATTATTTAAAAGGGAAGTGATATAGGTCATAGCTCAAAGTGATGGCAGAGTGCCCTCGAAGAAACTAAAAGAATTCAGTTGGTTTTATGGTAAAAGCTTATTTAGCACCAGTTTCACTAATTATCAAGGTGATTCAACTTAAAATCTTAAATTCAACTGCTGCCATAAAAACACAAGTCAACTCGATCCCAATATTTATTAATTCATTAATTAAAGATTTTTTATCGTCTATCAAAGTTAGGTTATACAAGTTGTTTCATTAATGATCTGTTATTGTTTGAACTTGTTAATCTGAGTTAGAACAACCAATGTAAAATTTTTCACTCATGAAAAACGTTTTCGTAGATAACTAACTATATTCATACCACATTTCCTTCTCAAGTAGAAATGTAATTAAAGTTTTCAAATAAAGGTGAAAAGGTTTTTTGTTTTTTTTAAGAGTGGCAGATTTGCCAGTTTCCTTAAACATCAATAAAGCTTCACAGCTCAGTTTTTCGCCGTAAAACTATTTTTGCACTTGTTAGAGAATGACTTTCATTTCATGTTAGACTAAATTAGCTTGGTGCATTAGCAACTTCTGCTCTAAGTACTTAAATAGATATGTAGATATGTACTAAAACTAAAACCCTTGATATTTAATTAGGCATAATTTTGGCGGTAACTCTCTTTTCCCCTGTGAAGGTAAACACGTCTGTGCTTTTAGTTCTCTGCTGTGGATTTAATTAAAGACAGAGCTTACGTGTTTGGTTTGGTTTGATAGCGCAGAGTTAAAGGTCGACAACCATTCCGCTGATTCATAGTGTCATAAAGTTGGTGATTATGGTCCGTGATAGTTGTAGCGTCCTTAAACAACCACCTGTGATCCCTTTGACTTGAGCCCTCTTGTTGAAACACAGTTGAACTTCTGACTGACTGAGCAAATAATTAACAACACAGAAGAAGTGTCATAAACCTGCTGCAACAACCCACTATCGTTTTTGCCATGTGATCAGTCAGGCACTCTTAACCTTTCAATATGTTCTTGACACAGGAGAGATCAGCCTGTTAAACCTGAACTCTTGATAGGTTTGGTTGAATCACAATCAAACATTCATGTATTCTCCTCGTAAAAACCAGATGATTATCTCAGTGTCGTGACACTTTCATGTGATCTCACCTCTGCATGTAAAAAACCAACGATAAACTATGAAATCAAGACTTTTGAGTGGTGCCAACGGTTCACTTTTAGATCGAATGTGTCTTTGAGGTGATGTGTTATTTTGCATTAAAGGAATTTGACAAAAAACTTAATCCATTTTTGGGATTCAGTAGTTCTTGTTTTTGTGTAATTTCATTAAATTATAAGTAAAGTTATTTTGTCAGCAGGTAGAGTTTCGGGCCATTTCTTTCACTCACAGCTGGTGACTTTTGTGCTACTGAACATCAAATACAAACTAATCAACAAAATCTTATGTGTTGAGTTGTTTTTTAATAAAATGTGCAACAAACTTATTTTTAAAAACATCTGAACCAACATCAACACACGATCAACAAGTTTTCTCACAGCTCAAACTGACCCCAGAATTGCACAAATTTGGTGGCACGGTGTTTTGTTTTGAAAACTGATTTCTGCAACCCTGGTTGGGACTAGATCTACAGTTACTACATTTGCCACTTTTTTCTGCCACCTCTTTTGACGCGACGTAGAAGTATGTACAACTGTGTAAGCATTTCTTGCATGTATAGTAAATACGTAGTTTTCATACATCCCCAAATCAAAAAGGATAGAGAAGCATTGCATTTTTTTCACATGTAATATAGATAATGCGTCATGTGGCTATTTACAGCTATTTTAAAGTTTTGGCTGAACCCTGCCGTGTGAATTACTCACTCCACGGTTATTTCTAAACACATGTTTTGTCCTTTATCACAGTGTTTCATCAAAAGCAAGGGAAAGAAATTAAATTTTAACATAAAACAGATAAAAAATAATTGTTTAAGAACAAATGGCACCTTTACTTTTTATACTAGAATCTCACCGTTTTTACTTCCTTTTTTTTAACATTTCTTCACACTTCATCACCTCCATTTCTCTAGCTGCCTTCCTTCCCTACTGACCGAAACATACTATTTTTTACTTCCATTCAACCATTCCAATCAACATTTCAACTGGCAAAATCTTTCTTTCATTAGTGTTAACAAACAACATTCTCTCTCTCTTTCTCAAACATAAAAACTATTTTTTTTTTGGATCTCTTTGATAGCCATCTTTTTAGGTGCTTTGACTTCAAGACTTATTTCCTCATGCGGTTAGAGAAAAAGGAAAGAGAGAAGAAAAACAGTCACACCAATCGTCTTCTCTATTCTGGTGGCACATACGTGACTTTGCAGCACATTTCTCAATAACCATTAACATTAAATACAGGAACTTCCAGCAAGATCAGCATCACTTTCACCGCCAGTTCTGCTAAACATGATTTGATAAAAGTCCTGTTGTCAGCGAACGCAGACACAATTGGTACAAAAGAAAAAACACAGTGCTTGTTATTGTGAGAGGCAGAAGGTGCAGCATTACAACATCATGCTGATGTTAATCATCTTCATTCAATCTGTGGTAAACTTACAAAAAAACTTTATGTACACTCCTCCATCAGTCATGTGAAATCGACCTAGTATTCCTCTGATATTGCATCGGACAGGATGTTGCTGCTGGGGCTGGTGGTGATGTGGATGTCGGCTGGGCCACAGAGTGCCGGTGGGGTGGGTGTAGTGGTGGAGGCCTGCTGAGAATGCTGCAGCTTCTTCCTGTTCATTTTCCTCTCTTTGGCACGTCGGTTCTGAAACCAGATCTTCACCTGGAACACACAAACACAAAAGTGTCAAAATCACATCTGTATTTATTAAGTAGGTGAATGAGCAGAACTTTGAAAGATTGTGCAACAAACTGTCTAATCCAGAGAAAGAGGCACACAGAAATGTCTTCATTTTATTTCTTTATCATGAAATATCAGGACTTTTCTCTCATTAAAATCACAACTCTATTATAGCTTTCTTCTCAATTAAGACAGTGGCTTGTGAAACTCACGCACTCACTCACTCTTTTCGGTCTAACTACATAAACTGTATAGTTTGTAGAAAATAATTGTATGTAATAATAATGCATGTATTATTATGTATATGTATTATTTGTTAATATGTTTTATAAGTGATACAGTTAATTATTATCATTATTATCATTTGTTCAGATATGAAACAGGGGATTCTGTCTGTCTCTAATACGCATCTGATTTTATAAACAAATGGTTTTGGTGCCACAGACTTTCTTGGATTGATATGAGCAGTAGTAAGTAGCAAGTGCTGTGTTTCCTGTAATTTCTGTCACATGCAACAGTTAAATTCACATATTCAACAACTGCCTCTTTCGGTCACGCCCCATTGATTTGATTGAGTTATTTTTTACATCTGCTTTGTTTAGCTGTGTTTCAGACATGAACTCTGGAGGATGTGGGCTCCAGACTTTCTCCATCTTGTCTTTCACACAGTGCAGAAGGAGATTAAACACTCAGGTGCATTCACAATGTCAGAAATCTCTGGAGCGTTCAGGTGAGGGGTGGTGCAGCAGGCAGGAGGCAGGACATAACATTAATTCCACTGCAGAGATCAGGTGTTTTTGTTAACAGCTAGTACATCGCATCAGTCTTTATCACCAACAGCTCCCTTGACATCTTCATTGTCTTTTATGGCACAAATTAAATTTTCATCCTAAGACGTTTGTATTCTCTTTTCTTTTTTGCATCTGTCTTCTTCTGTTTTCTCTCTCTCTCTGTTTTCATCTCATTTGGATTTTCTCCACAGTTTTTACAAGGGGGCTGGCAGGAGGAACTCTGGAAACTTCGAGCTGCTTTTGTGTGTAAATTAGCAGGATTATAGAAATAATCACTGGCTAAATTATCATCAAACCTGGTGGAAGGATGTGGTATGGGTCAAGGAAGAATATTTTCAATTTTGGTGCAGATCCGGATCAGGGGACTGATTCAGGAATATCTCCTTAATTTCTTTAACAATGACAGATAGCCACATTTGCCGATCACTGAATCTAGTGAATTTAAATGTGGTTTCATAGGGGGATTGTTGGGCCTAGGTGGAGGTACTATGTGCTCTGCTGAGTGACAGTGTTAATTCACTTCCTCTCACCTGTCTCTCAGAGAGGCCCAGTGCCATTGACAGCTCCGTCTTTCTCTTCATGGTGATGTAGCGGTTGGACTGAAACTCCTTCTCCAGCTCCAGACGCTGTTGATCAGTGTACACCACCCTGTACTTGTCCTTTGTGCGGGTCTTCCCTCCTGAATCACACACACACACACAAAACAACAACCCTGAATAATTAAAACAGTCGACTGGTTTGTATGATTTCCTGACTGAGAGAACGTAGGTAAATGGTGTGTTATCCGCTCCTGTACATTAGTTTTGTCTTCAGTCCTGCCGATGATGAATGATTGAGTCGAGTGTAATGTGAGTTGCGGTCAAAACAGTCGATTAATGTGAGGACGTCTGGTGCCACGTTCAAGTTCAGGCGCCACTTAAAGTCTCATCAATTCTATTAATCACGCTGACTAAAAAGACTCCCACTCCTCAGTGCATTGCATCAGTGGTTCTCCTTATCACCATAAGTGATGTTTACATAGGTGTTTTCACAGGCGGTTATTCAATGACATGCTAACTCTAACACACACACACACACGCATACAAAGGGTGAGTCAGTGTTATTGACCATCTTGACCATGTGACAGTATTGATTGAGGCAGACCAAGACACACACGCACACGCACACACACACACACACACACACACACACACACACACACACACACACACCAGAGGCCCACAGAGGAGGTTTGACTTGTGCTGACTTCCTGCAGTGCCAGCGTTATCTAGCCAGCCTGTCAACCTCTTGCACCCACCCAGTGGACAGAGAGGGTGGGGAGCGACACGTCTGCAGACTCCAATATTAGCTTTGCATTGACATCTTAACGAAGCGTAAGGCGGAAGGGAGAGGAGAGAAGAATGTGTGTGCAGTCTGCTTTGACTGTGCATATGCTGCCACCCCACCGACGGCAGGGGCCATATCTAAAGACTAATCAGTACATTTTTTTGAGCGCCCTTAACCATACGCTGTTATTTATATGAAACCTCCTGTTAGTGTGTGGAAGCTGATTTGTGATCAGCAACAAGATAACAACCTTGTTTTCAACAGAAGTTTACTGAGGTTTCTCTTGTGCTGAAATGTCAAATGTAAGCCTAAAGCAGTATTTCATTTTATTAAATTGAAGTGTCAATTATCTACAACTTATTAAAAATGTAAACAGTTTTCCTACAGGCCATAACAATAGTGTCACATCCTAGGATGAGGAAAAACATCCAAGAAATGACCCTTTTAATAGAAACCTCAAGGAGTCACTTGAATGCATGGTCACAAACAAATAGGTGTAGGAATAGTGTTTTTAAAATCCAAATATCATTTTCATTTAATTACGGAACTTCATTTCACTTTCACTTTATTAAGTATTTTGATGTTTTAGCTCTCGGGAATTTTTTTATGGAGAACAGAGACTCCCATAGAAAAGGGAATCACACATTAGAATTCCATATAAATGTGTTCCAACACGTGTCAACAAGTCCGAGTTAGAAATACTAGAATATGATCAGATTAGTAGCACACTGAATATTATTGATTTTTAAATTACAAGAACAACACGTTGACCTGTGTAAGTGTGTGGCCGGATAAAGTCCCACCTGGAGCGGACGGTCTGAGGGGCTCCTGCGGCCTCCCCCTGCAGTTGAACGGGTCCTGTCCGGAGATGAAGTTGTACGGGGTGAACGACCCTACTCCAGCGGTGGTGGGCGTGCCGCTCAGCTCCACGGGGGTGAAGCTGCTCACCTGCCCGGCGCTGGGGCTCGATCCCGGGTAGCTGTACGCGTATTCCTCCCGCGGCGCGTAAATGGAGCTCCAGGCGCTCGTCGTCGACGGGTCACCGGCTCCCGGGGCGTGATGGTGATGGTAGAAGTCATACGGAGGCGGGATGTACTGACTGCTCATTGACAGAGCCTGGGCCGGGTGTCTGGTAGACTGAGAGCTGGGGTACATGCCGGTATCCTGGTCCCACGGGGGGGGGAGGTGATTCTCAGGTAGACCTCGGTGAGTCAGACCTCCTGGTGCATGTTAGGCCTCCTGTGTTTTACTCCTGTGTCTCCTCTCCAGTCTAAGGTCCAGGACACATGAGCTCCAACACTACACACCTTTATAGATTTACCTGTGCTGTGACGTCACGCCGTACCTGCGCCTGCTAGTCTTGGCGACGTGAGGCCATTAACCCTAATTTTTTACCTGCATGGTCCACAGGCCATCATGTGAGGTGTGTCTACACCCAGAACAACATTTTACTGCTCATGGAAACTAAATCATCTTATTTGAACTAAATGATAACAATAAGGAGATACATCTGAAACAAATGAGCCTGTTCTGCTCATTAGCTTCTTGGTGTTTTCTCTCGACTGTGTAGGTGCAAGTCAGTCAAGTTTCCTTCTGGATCTTAAGTCTATATGAAGAAACTTGTTCAGTCATATCTTATCATGCCAGTGCCGTATCCATTCTAGGGCAGTGTTGGTTATCTTCTTCAGGTCATGGAGGATGTGGTCCGTATACTGGGACAGTGTTCGTTGGTGTTGATTCTATACTTCTGAACATTGTCCTCGCTTCCGCTTCTGGTCTGTTTAGTGTTACAAAGTCCTTTCTGCTCAGAGTTGTCCCACATTCATTTGGGCTTGGCAGGGCCTTGTTGTGCAGGCAGCTGTCGATGGCCCTCCACATCTGCCTGTGTTGAATGCAGGCTCTCCACTGTTATGATTTGAGATGATTACATATTAGTAGAGGGAGACAGGAAAAGGAGCATTTTAAGATCTTTATTAAGGATCAGGCTGAGACCAGAGGAGGGAGCTACATTTATTCCAGTAAGATAAAATAGTCTGAATCTCATATCAGACCCTATTTTGAATTTTCCTTTCCTCTGGCTTGTGAGACTCTAGACCAGACTAGAAAGTCTAGTCTAAATCAAAATGTCTGTTAGTTCCGTGGTGAAAGAAGTTTATTAAATCCAATACCTATGCAAAAATAAAATAAAAATCTAATATGTGTTATTAATTTAGACATATTTCTTGCTTTGAACCGTGTTGTTTTATTTGCAGTGAAGTTCGCTTTGAGAAGTGAAAGCTTGCAATCTATTATGATGATAATTACTGCGGCTGTTGTTTTATTGTATGTTAAACATGTTTGATTTTTTGTGGCTCATTTTCAGTTTTCATCCTGAACGACATCGTCTGAATCAGATCCTTCCTTGTAACAACTGGAAATGGAGTTTATGGCTTTATCCATCTTCATCTGTCTATCTATCTTGAGTAACTGTAATCAGTTACTATCAACCATGAGTAATAACTCAGAAATTGATCATTCAGGCTAAGTCATGGTCAAGGTAAGTAGGTCCATTGTCCACTACTTCACAGCTAAAAACAAGCACAAGAGGGCAGCAAAAACCTAAATACTGGCAGGTAATGTCCCTTACTGTTGTCAAACATACTGTAGAATCAATCGTTTATTCTAAATCCACCTTGCTGCTGGTTTCACACATTTTCCACCTTCAGTTGATGTTCATGTGTAGTGAGCTGTGTTTTCCTACTGGTCAAGCGCGTGCGTATCAGTTTGCTCAAACAGTCATAAAAGATTCATGCCAGTATGTTGGTCAGAACAGTCATTATCAGTTCTAAGAGCTGCCAGTGGCCGGGCAGCTCGAAGGAGGCTTATGTTAATGGAGAGGAAAGAGCCACAGGCCTGAACGATGAAACCAGTGCAACATAAGCAATGAGCCCTCATATATCTGATGAACAGCTTCAAGTACAGTAGATCATGTAAAATGGCCAAAAATAAAAAGGAATGTGGTTTTAAGGATATAAATGAAAGTACAAACTGTACTGTTCCATCTCTCTGAACATTACATTACACTCAAATAGTAATGAAATGTCCCCGTACACCCCAGAAAAGACCCTTGTACTTTAAATTTAGGCCACTTGTTTGCTGCTCTTTGCCAAAAATAAAAACCTGCACCCTTTTTTCCAGGCTATAAAAATCTTTAATATTTATCTTAATGAGGGGTTGCTGCAGGGTAGGATCCATGAATAGTGATTCAGTCCAAACAGTGAAACATAAACATTGTTCCTGTCGGTCTCCATGTAGCTGTGCAGATGTTCAAGTTCATCGAGGGGGAACTTATAAAGACTTTTATCCTTTTTTTTTTTTTTACTGATTCTAAAAGCTCACATATGTTGGAGGAGAGCAGTTGTAGGTGCCCAGACACACCCAGAGCTTTCATCTTCCAAAGTCAGGATCCACTTAAACCTATTACAGTCCACAAAAAACCCTGCAAACAGTACTAATCAAGTGCTAAACCCTTAGAGCACGTCTGTTAAGTTCTGCTTCACCATGATTGCCAAACGAAGAAAAGGGTTTAAAATAATTTACAATGTTGTACAACAAGGATTATTAAGCAAGCCTTTGGCATTGGGTTGTGATAAAGAACAATGGAAGTTAAGTAGTTTACTCAGCATAAAATTAGTCAAATTTCAGTTCTTTGATTTGATCACAGTAAGGTGGTCACCTACCATATCTGTGTTTAGACTAATTAAAGATGAAACCATTTTTAAATTTGACGCAAGTAACATATTCAGTGATGCAGGATGGACGACATCGAGTTACTGTTTTTTGATGCACAAAAATGCCATTTTTCTTTTTGGATTTTTTCAGAGAATCTTTAAAACTATAGACTGTATTTAAAGATGGACAACATGGCTGCTCCGCCCCTAAAAGTGAAGCCAAAGTGTCTCAATGAACCCCTGGTGGCTCGCTGCAGTGTAGATGGGACATGATCAAATGAAAAAAAAGTGTAAGTACACGTCAAATACATTTTTCCTAAAGGTGTTTCTGTCTTCTTACTCCAAATGGTGCAAGATGTCAGTGTTGGTATTTGGGATATTTTGCCATAATTTCTGGATAGTGGGAGGAAGTCGTCGCCCATCTTTATGTACAGTCTATGCTTAAAACCAGATGAAAGTGATCACAACTTAATTAAGTTTCTGTTTAGTCTGAACTCAATGCAGCCACACTCACCAAACAACAAACTCGAACAGAGGACAGAGTGAAAAACAAGAAACAAGTGGAAATTTAACCCTTTCCTTATCTGTTGTTTGTTGACCTTTTCTGTCATTGAATGCATTTATCTGACACTATCCACATGGAGCTGACACTTGAAAGCTCAAACTTAGGTCACCAGAGCACCCTTAGTTTCTCATGTTGGACTTTTTGTTGTTTTTATGATGATCTGAATGTAATTGAATCTAATCTGCCACTTATTGATTAATAGAATGACCATGAATTTCTTATTTGAGGACGTAACCTAAAAACAAAACGAAGAAAAGTACGAAATCTTCATATTGGAGAAGAACAAATTAATGTCTCTGCTTAAAAAAACAGAACCAATCAATTATCAAAGTAGTTGCCTATTCATTTGCTGCTGATTTTCTATTAATGAAAGTGTATGTTTTGCTTTGAATTGTGTTGCTCTATTTGAAGTGTCATTATTTCTTAGAAGTGATATCTTATGAGCAATGGAGATGATTAGTTCTAATGTTGTTGGACTGTATGTTAAACATTTTCTTATTTCTGTGGCTCATTTTCAGTTTCGAGGAGCGTCTGACTCACATCACATTCTTTATCTGAACACCCTGAAATTGATTTGACTCCAGATCAAACAGTTTATGACTTCATCCATCTTCATCTTTCAGAGTTGAGTTGGGTTCAACTCCAGTTCCAGGCTTCAACCCCTGGTGCTTCCTGCCTCTACCTCCCTCCCTCAAGGGGCCCAGAGAGATAACTTCCAAACGAATCCAAAACACAGCGAAGCAAAACTTGTGACCAGCATACAGGGTAGGAGCACTGGTAGCACTCCGGCTGTGGCAATGATCCAGATGAGCATTGAGAGAAACGACTCTGGAGCTGCCAACATATGCTGGGTTTTCCTGCAGCGGAAGGATTTGGCATCTAGTTTGTCAAATGTTTGTGAAGATAGACAAATAAACAAGGTAAAATTTAAAGGCATAGATGCCCCCTCGTGCTGACTCTTCATGCTAGAATTATAGATGACTATAAAATGCATCATTGGCGTTAGAAGTGTCAGTCTTTGCTCTCTTAAAAACCTCCACCTAGTGTGTCCTGTTGGAGCTGTGGTTTGCTGCCGGATGTTTAAACAGAGTGTGTCTTATCTCCAGCTGACAAAGGATTGAGTGTGAGAGAGTATATTGGCATACGTGTTATTACTTGTGATCTCGTGTGGCTACATTTAAATTGGCATGGCACTAAAAATGTGTCGTTTAATGGGGGGTAAATTAATGGATTAAGAGCAGATTTACTGCAGAGAGGTGTTAATTACACAGGCACGATTAGAAAGAAGTTTAGGTGGGACAGCCCTGTGTGGTGTAGCCCCCCCTCTCCTATCTAAAACCTGGGGCTCTGTAATCACTGCTTGCAGATTTTACCCTGCACAATTAGAGGAGAAAATGATTACTGTCCCATTCAGTCCTGGTTCCATCCAACCCCCTGTCTGCCTGGAGAGAAAAAGACCTTCGTCAGCTGCAGGGTTGTGTTATGAATTTCAAGCCATCCACTCATATCCTGGGAAAGGAGGAAATTAGGAAGAGAGCCAATGTGGGGAAAGTATTTGCATGGTGTGTGTGTGTGTGTGTGTGTGTGTGTGTGTGTGTGTGTGTGTGTGTGCACGTGTTTAAAAGAGCAGAGAAAAGAGGCAGAGGCGGGTAAGGACAGAGGGAGGTGTTGAGTTATTCAATCTGGGTACAAATAAAGAAAAGGGAAACAAATAAGAAGCAGAAAAAGAGAAGCACCACATGTGAAAACTCAACTTAAAACTATAAAGTATGAAACGAAACTGTTTTTCCACTTGATTGTTGCAGTGTGATTATATAAGTGAAGCGATTTTTCCTGAGAAGCTTTCATGTTTTGTTTTCAAAGCAGGCCACCACAAGCTCTGCCAAAAGCTTTTCTTTCTTCTTTTTTTTTTGCCAGGACCTCTCACTCACTCTCTCACTCTTTCTCCTCCTTTTCATTGTGTTTGTTGTTTCATGGAGGGGTTAGATGCCGTCC